AAAACATACACACATTGGTCACTCTATGGCATATATATGGTATGCATCTCAAACCACTCGATTCTTTATTGCTTTTCAAACTGGATATGCTTTCTGTCACCAATTTTATATCTTAATCCATATTTCAGGCAGGACCACAATATCAGAATGGACTTAGATTCTGATGATGAAGACATGGATGTTGATTTTGAAAAAAACGGACAGTATTGCTGATCAACAAGCAGTTGAATTTAGGCCAAACATTAGCCGAGTTGAAACTGACAATGAATTAACTGCATTGCTTGAAGACGGAACATTTTTGGTTTTTCTAAAGCAGCTTTTGGTATTAGCAAAAATGAAAGTTGAAAACTGTTCAGTGGTGGGTTGCCATGAAGAAGTTATTATTAGCACTGAAGTGATTTCATCTGCATTGTATTTTAAATGGGTATGTATATTTACAGTCTGTGCTAAAACTTTTCAGATCGAGACAATGCTATTTGCATTCACACAAAAACAACATATAGATGATTTATTTTGCCTACAAACCATTTTTATTCAATAATTAAATTAAATTTGAGTAGAGGTATGAAAGAAGAACATCAGAATTACCTAACATATTGGTATTATGAAATCAAAGATAAAATAGTACGAAAACAATATAAACTGACTGGCACTATCCTGTCTAGACTTGCGAGGTGGGGTTTAACCAGAAAAGAGTTTGTAAGATATCAACTCTCCCCTAAATGTGTCTTGAGCCAGACATGCAGTAAATATCAGGATGAAAATAACTTGATCTGACATACATTTGTATGTGTCAAGTGTACTTATTATATTTCATATTTTGATTTTTCCAGAAATATTATTCAATTGTGTAAGATTAAACAAATCACTAATGTTCAATTTTTTTTCTATTTCAGACTTGTAAAAAGAACCACTTAGTAAACAAATGGTGCTCTCAGCCAGTATTGAACCGTAGGTTACACAGTGGAGACCTTCTTTTTTCGTCAGCTCTATTGATTTCAGGATGTAACTTCCAAAAGATCTCCCTGTTTGCAAGATTTTTGAAACTGGCAATTCCACTTTCTGTATCTTATCTTAAGATGCAGCGGACATATTTGGCTCCCACATTAGATGAAATCTGGGAGAAAGAACAGAATCAGATTTTACTTGAATTTAAAGACAAAGAACTTGTTTTACTAGGTAACTTTTAGCTTAAAATAATAGTTCACTATGTTACTTTTGAGATTCAATATTTATCAATTCAAATTGAATTAAAAAAAA